GCTAATGTTATTCCCAAAACCCCTTATATATGAAAATATTTCATATTTTGAAAATTCTTCACTAGTAAAAGTTGTAGTCCTTAGAAAGATGCGAAATCAAAGAAAGTTTGTGATGTTTCGGTTGTAGAGCACAAAGTTATCGCCGTCCAAAGTTTAGCGAAATCTAAAAATTTGCTCGTTTGAGATAGCAATCAAATTTTTTTCGGGACGAAGGCTGGACCAAATCACTTCTATTTGTTTGCAACTTGAAAGATCTCGTAAAATAATGCAGAATAAAAAAAAAGCGTTGCGATCGGATAACCGAGCACAAAGCTACGTTCGAGTTGCCGCGATGTAGCATTCACCGCTTTAGTCGGCCGCGGTGATGTTATTCACAGCGTTTGACGCCGCAGTGAAGGCCAAACATATGTTGATTGGAAATATTTCATAAAAACATGTGTATTTTGAAAAAAAAATTAAGGTGTGTACTTTGAGGAAAAATCCTATAACACCTAAGAAATGGAAGGCTAATAACACCTATTTAGGGGTTAACATTTGTCAGAAAGAGCCATTGTAGGTGGTTTGATTAGCAACTTAGTTGTCTAAATTAAATCATAATTTTGTTTTTTGTTGCCGTGTTTGTACCCAGTTAATCTATCAAAGAACTGTATTAAGTATTAACACTCACCGTGGATCAAAGAATTAGTCTAACCATTAAAGAGCAAGATGTATAGTGTATACACATAACCCATTACCAAATCAATCTAATTAATTACGGTTGGTTGACTAGAAAAAGATGATCCTGTGAATCTTTTGAATCATGTCTGGGCACTATTAGGTTGAAATTTCAAACTCTATATATAGTATCTTCTCTTTTTCTTCGTTTCTCATCCTGAAATTATCCTCCAATTAAATATATGTCAACGGAATCTGCTGTAGACCGGCAGTGTTAAGCTAGAAACAGTGCGGAAATGAAGGAGGAATCGAGGAAAACTGGAGCAATTGTTATTTGGAACCATTCAAAGTAAAATTCAAACTGGAAGCATTTTCTTATCTATAATAAATAAATCCCACTGTTTTTCAGTATAAAATTAAACTATATTGTCGTCTGTATAAACCCCAAGGATTCAAGGAAGACTGACTCGAACAAGTCCATCGTAAACATGAGTTTCAGTGATCAGGATCATAATTTGTCAATGAATAATTCTTAATTCAGAAATATATTTTATGCAAACCGTTGAATTGCTGTGCTGAAATTAATTGAATTATTATGACATTAGCTGCAGCCATTATCGATGTTGATTTTTCTTGTTTTGTATTAATACACTACTCCTGTTTTTTATTTATTTATGAATGTTCTACTCAAGTTGGAGCCGTAATGCATGGAAAGGGAGTACTGATTAATTCAATTGTTTGACATTTTATTTCGGATTAATAAATTGAGTTTTTTCAGTGATGCAGGAAAGTTTCAATATGACTGATATCTACACATCCATTTAAAGAGATTCTCTAAAGGGAGTGCGTTAAAATCAAATTTGGAGGCCTCTCCGCAGCTCACGGAAGGCTATGAAAGTAGTTTCCTTTTTTTTTGTGTGGTGAAAACCTTTCTTTTTTTAATAACTATTGCTACTATGTATTTATTGGGTTGGGCTCTTATTGGATGTTGCGGCAGATTTAACCTATTCGCATGGTAAGGGAAAGTTGGTAATTTTGGTGGGCTTAAAATACTCAATTAATTTATTAACAACAAATTTGGACCATGGTTCTTAGGTTCAACCGATGGCAGTAATAAAACTAGCGTGAACACCACCGATGTGACCAGCATGATCAATTTATGGTTTTTAAACAAATAACATTGTTTTAGTGAATTTAATTAATAAAAAATTAATTTGCCATTTATTTTATGAGTTTAAAATTTAAATGTTGATGTTATTTGTTGAATTCAAATATAAACGTTTAGATATTAACGTTAACTGTTATATTTAAATATGAGCATTTGTAATTTTATTTGGAATGTAAACATCAATATGAATTATAAATAAATTATTCAAATATGATTTCATATGTGATGAAATTCATTTCATGTTAATGGTTTTTCACATTTCTACATATTTTGTTAACCGACATGGACCGACACAAACTGGTTGTACCACCGGTCGAACCATTTCACTTGCTAAACTTGCACACTGGTATAAACCGATTTGACAACCTTGACTCCAACTAAAAAAGGAAATTCCTTTTTAATTAACATGTTATGTATGAGCTTATTTACTATGCTGTATTGGAGTTTGCACATACCATTTGAATTTGTGTCATCGTGGAAAAATTATAAGTTTAGTTTGTATCATAAAGCAATTTGTACGAAAATTATATATGTGCAAATTGTGCCATAATGTTAAAGATTTCTATCGTAAATTTTTTAATGGTACGTAATAAAATATGTTTTGCTTCGGACAGTTACTATGATTATTTACACTGTTATTGAAATTCATCCGACCAACGGGCGGGCTCTGAACTAGTTATCATTGGAGAATTTCTGCGTAGGTAACTAAAGCGACTTTTAATTTGGTTGCATCTGCTAGAAAAGTGTGCTTTCAAAAAACTAGTTCAGTGTTGTTAAATAAACTATTTAAAATAATTTTCAAACATTATTTTTCTTTATAAAAGCACTTGTGGGAGAGGTTCAATAATTGTCTATTTTTGTCGACTTATAGAAGTGTTATTTTGCTTTCAAAAGTTGAAGTATGGCTAAACATCTCTAAAAACTCGAGTTTTGAAAAGCTAAAAAGTATTTTTGTATAACATTAAAATTAAAATAATTCGATTTGGATTTTTTTTGAAAAGTTGTGTTGAAAATACACAATTATTCTTATCATATTTAAATTTTCTTTTATTTATAGTATTTTATATAAAATAAATCTAACAAGATCCATATTGAATATTTTTATTTTGTATTAGTAATTATGCTTAGGTATTTTTACGTCACCTCTTGTATTAAAAAGCACTTTTAATCATTTTCAATCAAACATTCAACTGCTTTTTCTTAGTACATCTTTAAAAACTCTAACCAGAAACTGGTTTGACTGAATCAATAAATGCCAATTATACGATATTTGGTTGGGTGATTTATTGAATTGTTGCACATAAGCAAATTTGCTTAGTAACTCAATTTTGTATAACCATCAATAATGTTCATCAATACTTATGAGAGACATAATTTTTCTCCAATTAATTTAACAGGGTATATCACTTGCGATTTAAGTCGTACTTCAACTTTTGCATAGAAAAATTATATTAATTGTGCTCGTCAAATTGACATCCACTTGTTAGTATGTGGTAAGATCCATTATCGGACCTCTCCAACAACTTGATTTATGGGAATCAATTGATTCTTGACATGATATCAAAGCCTTCTGTGACCAAGAGGAGTGTGTTCGAATCCCAAAGACTCATTTGTTAAGCACATGATATCTTAGCCTCTGCAAACTGCAAGCGTACGACTTGGCTTTCGTTTGAAGGGGCGTGTTTATATGTGGTATAAGATCCAATATTGAACCCCTCTCAACAAATTATATAGACGACATTTGTTACTATTGACAACCTTTTTTGTAGTGTCCATCTTCTGCTGCTTTTGGATTCGTCGTTCTTGTTCATCTGAAATTGGTCCTCTCATCTGCGGCGAACCTCAAAATTGGGGATTAGAGAGAAGTGAGTCGGGATGTCTGAAGATGGTGTGCCAGTGAAGTCGGGTTGGTGCTGGTGGAGGCAAAGACGATTGATGGTCGTGGAGGCAGAGATGATTTTGGACGAAAAGCGACGGCGTTTGTGGTGGTGGGAGGATTTGTCGCCAGAGATGAGCTCTTCGCCTCCTCATAAAACTCATCAATTTTGTTTTTTTTTTAATCCACATGGGTAATACGTACGAGACGAAAATCGCCAGATCAGACAATCCGTTAGTACAGTCAGTTGGTTAACTCACACTGTCAAAGAATTGGACGGCAGTGGATATTTTTGGTATTTCGCCAAAAGTGGTTATATTTTGCCAAACTGTCAAAGTTTTGGCTACACAGGTGCATTTTACCAAAATAATATCTAGAACTTGAATTGATCGAAGTATGGGACATAGTACTATACTCTAACCCTTAAATATTAAAATCTAGGCCTTACTTCCATTAATGTCATACAAAAAGATCAATTTAATTGTAAACATTAATCGACGATCATGATTCGCGGAAATATATCCAAAATTATATGCATCATTTTAGTGTTTAGAGTCTATAGTTTAGATAATTAAGATGTAGAATTCATCATAAAAATTACGATATAGTATTATGCCCCGTCCAATTAATTTGATCTCCACAATATTATTTTCTTACTCGAAATATGTTATACGCTTGATTTTACTCAAATAAATAACTATAGAAGTCACGGTGCAGACCGCCCAATGTTGTGGTTGATGGAAGAAAATGGTAAAACATAAAAGTGCATCTCAAGAAAACGTGGCAACGTAGTACCTAGCAAACGCCAAAGACCATGAGTTCAGCAAACCAAAATCCCTTTCTTCCATTTCACTTTTTGTCCCAAGATATCGACACATGCACCGATTCCCAAATTATACGACGACTTGTGCCCAAAAAAAAAAAAATTATACATAAAGGAAGTCAACTCATGTCCCACTAAGCTTCAGAACGCGTCCCTTAACCTGTGTTTAGCAGCCAAGTTTGAAACTTGGAACCTTGCCCACTCATTGTTGTTAATCAATTAGTACATATTTCCAAACACAAACGAAAAAGTCACTTAGGCCAGCTGGTCTGCGCCTCTCATCATCATGCATGTTATCGATCTCCCAGTATCCAGCTTTCTCTAACCTATAGCTCCCACTATATAAACCCTAACCCCTTTCCAATAATCTCCATCATCCACCCACACACACACCTTCAGTCTTCAACTTATTAGACAATCAAGAATCTTCTCTTATTAGCTAAAGCAAGAATCTTGTCTTTTTAGCTAAGCGAGCTTTAATGGCTTCTTCCTGTGAAGCGGGTTTTAAGTTGTGGGTTACCCTGTTGGTGACAGTGTGGGTTCTTGCCTCGACGGGCAGTGCTCAACTGGCAGCCAACTTCTACGCACGTTCATGCCCTAACCTTCAGCCCCTTGTGCGCAATGCTATGCGAGAAGCCGTCAATAGACAGCCCCGACTTGGAGCCTCGATCCTCCGCATGCACTTCCATGACTGCTTTGTCAATGTCAGTAGATCCAACGTGCTGTGCTGTGCATGCATGTTTCGAAATTGACCATCATATAGTTAACTAATTACAAAATTAACTGCTGTTTTTAACGACAGGGGTGTGATGGGTCAGTTCTGCTGGACGACACGGCCAGCTTCACCGGTGAGAAAAATGCCCGCCCCAACCAGAACTCGCTTCTCGGTTTCGAGGTTATCGACACCATCAAAACCCGGGTGGAAAGGGCTTGCAATGCCACGGTTTCTTGTGCAGATATCCTTGCACTTGCTGCCAGGGACGGTGTCGCATTGGTATGATTAATCTTCCCTTTCAACATTTCTCTCTCACCTTAAGTACTAAGCTCCTTCTGTTATATACTTAATTACATAATATTAGTGTCATGATTTACATGCAAAGTTGATAATATTGTCTCTTTAATATGTACCGGCCACTTGCCTCCTTCATGGAAGCAACAGTTTATTTATTTTAATATTATTGAGTTGTTACTTGTTGGTCTCTCATCAACCGTATACTTGCAGTCATCCCTTTGACATTAGTTATCCCATTGCATGGTCAACATTCCTTTGACAATTTCATTCGCACTTAGTCTTATATCTAAATTTAGTATTATGTGTAGTTGTAGCTAGCTATCTCCTTTTTCTCTTTCCGAAATTTCGGGATAGTAGAATCTTACACGCAAGCATTATTGCCGTACTGAAAGTTGTATTGGAAAAGTTAGTGATTAGATAGATATTCCGGTAGACAATTTTTCCGGTCGAACCAACGATGTTTGCAAACAATGCATAGCATTAATGATCCTGCAAATTGATACAAAGATGGTGTATATCTTTAATCTTGCATCACTAGACGTATCATTCATAGAAAGAATTCACTAACACAGAACGACCTTGTGGTATATACATGTATACAGCTAGGAGGGCCTTCATGGCAAGTCCCGTTGGGCCGCAGAGACGCAAGAACGGCGAGCCAGAGCGACGCGAACAACGACCTGCCCTCCCCGTTCTCCGACCTCCCAGCCCTAATCTCCGCCTTCACCGCCAAGGGTCTCACTGCCGCCGACATGACCGTGCTCTCCGGCGGCCACACCATCGGGCAAGCCAGGTGCGCCGGGTTCCGCAACCGGATCTACAACGAGACCAACATCGACGCCAACTTCGCCACCACGAGGAGGGGCAGCTGCCCGGCAACGGGAGGCGACGGCAACCTGGCGCCACTCGACACCTCTCCCAACCGATTCGACAACGCCTACTTCAGCGCGCTGGTCGGCCAGCGAGGGCTGCTCCACTCCGACCAGCAGTTGTTTAACGGCGGTTCCCAGGATGCTCTGGTCAGGACTTATAGCACCAACGTCAACACCTTCGTGCGTGATTTCGCCAACGCTATGATCCGGATGGGGAACATCAGCCCCCTCACGGGGACTAACGGAGAGATCAGGACCAACTGTCGGGTCGTTAACTAATGGTCGCTATTGATTAACCTCCTTGTTTCGGGAATTGGGATTAATGTGCGCGTAGTACGTAGTCTACGTTAATAAACTGTAGCCCTTTTACCCAAAAAAAAAAAAAAAAAAAAACTGTAGCCCAAATTATGGAGCTACTTGTACTTTTTCTGGCCACTTCCCACTGATGTTGTTTTATTCTCTGAATGTCAAGTTAGTTAAAAAAAACATTTAATATAAATACATGCTATTCATATGTGTTTTGTAATCTTGTAAGGGATAAGATTAGGTGAGTAAGAGGATGGCTTACTCAGTTGGTTAAGTCTTTCCCACCCATAGACCTTCATTTTAATCCAATGGCTATAAACTTAAAAGGTTATTGTCTTTTTTTATTTATTGTGTCCATAATATTCCTAACTTGGGTAAAATCTAGGATACAATATACCTTAAGTAAGAAAATACTATTTATATCTCGAATTAATCGACTTCTGGGGCATTATACTATATCCTTACATTCGATGAGTGAATCTTATGTCTTAATTATCCAAATCATAGACTCTAAACTCTAATATTGTACATGTAATTTGTTGCATATATTTCGATGACTCATGACCATCGATTGTTGTTTCGTTAGCTCCATTTCTCAAACTCTGGTCAATTCAAGGTTTAGATATCATTTTATTACTCAAGATATGTCGTAAGTAGTGATGGTAATGGGGCGGGGCAGGGCTCACGCAAATTTTACTTTTTACGATAAAACGAAGGAGAAAACACTTTATGAATGAAAAATAGTGATAATAGAATGAGTAATTTAAGTCTAACCAGTTGAAAGATCGACTATAACTAGTTGAAAAAAGTCAAAAAAAATGTATAGATATTGTAAGAAAGTGAGGTAGAATGGGCCAAGAACGGGGCGGGGCGGGCAGGGCGGGTCGGATGTGTTAATCAACTTCATGATGCAACCCGGGAAGAACATTGGCAGACTATGAAGAGGATTTTCGAGTACCTTAAAGGCACGTCTGATGTGTTAATCAACTTTGGATGTCATACATAGTGCTTAGTGGTTGTTCATTTAAATTCTAATTGTACAGAACTCTTGTTGGCAAGTTGATCTACTTAACAACTACACGTCCAGATATCTGCTATGCGACTCAACAACTCAGCCAATTCATGTCAGCTCCATCCAATACTCAGTTCAACGCTGTCCTTCGTGTATTGAGATACCTGAAATCAACCCCTGCAACTGGTATGGACATTTCTTTCCATCAACAGGAACATTTCAACTCAAAGCCTTGACAGACTCTGATTGGGCAGCGTGTGTGGATACTCGCCACTCCACCACTGATTTTTGCATCTATCTTGGAGAATCACTCATTTCTTGGAAGACCAAAAAACAACGGACTGTTTCTCGATCCTCTTGTGAAGCAGAATATCGTGCTCTGGTTCTTCTTCAAGATTTCCAGGCTGGTTCTTCTTCGGCTGTAGCTCTGTACTGCAACAATCAAAGTGTCATACACATCGCCAAAAATCAAACTTTCCACGAGCGAACAAAGCACATTGAGCTCGACTGTCATTTCGTCAGAGAAAAGCTCCAATCCGGATCAATCAAGCTTCTCCACATCTCCTCAGCACATCAACTTGCAGACCTCTTTACAAAAGCTCTCTCTCCTTCACCATTTCTGACATTGTTGTCCAAGCTTGGTGTGCGAAACATATGCTCACTAGCTTGCGGGGGGATAATAGATTGAAAATCCTTTTCAATTCCAACGGTCGTTTTTCACTACGACGAGGTTTTGCTCTCTTCAGAAGACAACCGCTTTGCCCAGCATTTTGGAGACTTGAAGATTAGTTGGAACGCCACCATTTCACTTTACCATTTCTGTACTTCTTTTCCTTTAGTTGCAAGACTGGTTGTTTCCCTTCCAAACTACAAAACAATGTTTGTAATGAAGCTTGTCTTCACCTATTGGATCAGCCTATAAGAGGCAGAATGATGAAATGAAAACACAAGTTTTTAGGATTTCATTCTCTTTCTCTCCTACTTTGTTGTTAGAGGTAAACAGTGTTGTGGGGCTTTTTTTAATGGATGCATTTCCCATGAAATAAACTCAACAATACTTTATTAAAAACATAAGGTGCTCTTACCAAAAAAAAAAAAAAAACAAAAGGTGCCCATGTCGATCATATGAATTTATTCATGCCTATATATTGTTGTAATGTACTGTATAAATGTATTGCTCAAGTCCTAGCTCATAGGATATGAAGTGTCTTACTAGCCTGTTAAGTAAAATCCAGTATGCTTTTGGGAAAGGTAGAAGTATAAGTGATAACATCATGTTTGTGATCCCTAGCTATGGACCTAGGGTGTATCCCTTGAAGATTTAATTGATTTCTATTTTCACTCTGCATATCTATTATTAGTTCTTGTATACTAATCAGGGGAAAGAACCCCGTAAATTGCGCGGAGTAAGCAGATAGATATAGAACCCTCTTTTGTAGTTTTCCCCTCGTTTGCATTGCATGACCACTGACGGGAAGGAAGAATAGCTAACTAGATCGATCAATCACTCTGTGCTTGTAAGTCGTCTTTTTTTAACGAATAAATACGAATCATCTACCCACAGCCGAAATCATCATCGGAAAATTAATCGCGTCGATTTCATGTATATGCATGTAATGGCAATGCAGTCATGTTTGAAACTGCCTGATTAGCTAGCCAGTTAGTTTCCCACTTCCCGTACGTACAGACAGCTACATCAACCATCTTCGCAAACTTTTTTTTAATACAAGTAGCAAGCTTGTTGGACTTTCCATGCATATGCGCATGCAGAAAGGTCAAGTTAAGGGATCTATAAATACTAGGCTAAGCACATCCGTTTATGGCACACCAACCAGAGCAGCTAGTCACTACAAGGGAATGGGCCAAGTCCAGGGGTTCCCTTTCAGCGGTTCCTATAACCGCTTCAGGCTTTCACTTTTAAGGCTTTTGGCAGCAAATGAATACAGGGGTTTTATTAACCCCTTCAAGGCCCAACCATTATATTTTGTGTTTTCCCCTTTTTTTGAATGAAAAAATTAATTATTGGAATAAAGTAAAATTTGTCGAGCAAAAAAGAGGGGAATAAAACAAGAGCTCAACGACGACAAGAGAGAGCGATTGAATCCTCCTCCTTCAGTCATTTTCTCCGGCGGCCGACCTTGAAGCCTTTTGTTGCTGCTCCATCTATCACCGACATCGCTAGTACCGCAATCTCGTAGTCTTCTTCTGGTATCTCTCAACTTAATTTCTAGCCTGGATTCCGACATTTGAAGATTCCGAGGTTTAATTTGATTTGTGGATTTCTCCAACAGCGGCGAGATTTAAATTGTCCGGTTTCCTGAGATTCGACGGCGACTTCTCCTCTTGCCAGAGATTTCGACGACCTTGAACTCCGGCGACCTTCGACTAGCGGCGACCTTCGACTAGCGGCGACCTTTGACCAACATCGCTGCTGCATTCTCTCGATCATCCTCTGGTACTTTCTCTAACTTAATTTCGAGGCTTATTCAGTTATGGATTCCGATATTTCATTGATGTTGTGGATTTCTCGAAATGCAGAGTTGGAATTAGGGCGAAGTGGATCAGCGGCGAGATTCTATTTTGTTATCGTTATCGATTTAGGGATTTCGTCGACTTGTGTGAGTCCCCTCTTCTCTTTCGATAATTCTCTGCTGTTTAGTGAGTCAAATAACGAGCCCATTTGGATGAGTTTGTTTGCTTCCAGCTGTTAACAGTGCCTAGCTTGATGGGCTGCGACTGTTGAGCACTTCTTTGTTTTTACTATTTTATAGGCCGAGCAATAGGGGGGATTAGTGGCTGGTTTCCGGCAGTCATTAGTTAAGCTTGATGTATAATTAAGTTTGTTCGGCTTTTCTAATAAGATCATCAAGTTTGCGAGGAAACTACAGATTACAGGTGTATCCCTCACCTCATCATGATCTACTGCAGCTGCAATCTATGTCCCTATGGTAGTTTAATTCAATGATATCCACAGTAACATCAAACTGCAGCTGCAAACTTGGAGGACCAACTGTACCTATCTATATATCCTGATCTGCATTTTCTTAAGTGTTGTTAAAATATGCATTGGGTGTGTTGTTCCCCTCAGTAGTTATATCAATCAAGAGAGGATTTCTACCAGTTTGGGTTTTTAGTTCATATAAATATGGTATGATTTGAACAGAATAAGAAAACTAGGACAAACAAGCTGTAGGCTGTAGTGTAGATATGTAGCAAAAGTTATGGACTCAAAGCAATGTCACCTGGTTTTAACTAGGAATTCGGTTCAAATTTTGTTGTAAGACTGATTCTATAGAATGAAACTCTTGTTACCTCTCTCGATTTTAGCTTTTGTTTAAGATTTATGAAATGATCATTTGAAATGGGCAGGTGTTTGGGACTGAACTTTGCCAAGGTGATCGACTTCTTGGGTCGTCAACTTCATAGAGATACAGTGGTACCTTTCTTTACTGGTGTTCTTTGTAATGTAGTGTAGTCAGTTTATTATCGATTTACTGATAGGTTTCTCGACTTTTCTATTTGAAATGCAGCTGTGTGCTTTAAAGTTTTGGACACATTATTTGCTAATCATCGTCGCTTGAATTACAAGGTAAGCTACTAATTTCAGGGGTTTCTTTAAATGTTTGTCTGAGTGATGCTATGTGTTGTTCCTAGCTATGTGAGTGCCTGCTTGTCTCCCATCAATTGCTACATGCTATTTTTTACTATGATCCCTCCTTTTTGAGGGCCAATTAACACTAAAGAACCCACCAACTTATAAGCTACATCACTAAACTCACCTACTTTTTACTCTCTCTCTCTCTCTCTCTCTACTAAATCAAACCCAAGATCAAAATTGGAGCTGTTGATAAACTCGGTGGTCATGCTCCTGTGAATTAACAAAGTAAAAAAAAAAAAAGAACACCATTCTTATGATATTCATTCTCTTGGGTTTCCGTTTTAGGTATACTGGATTTCAGTTTTTGTACCATCCAATGGACAAGAGTTGGATGAACAAGTCTAGGGTTAGTCGTGAATACAAGGAAGGGGTAGAATACTTCCTTGATTTTGCATTCCAAAATGCATCTTCAGAAGGGAAAATCATGTGTCCATGCATCCGTTGTGCAAACGTTAATTTTCAAACGCGTGAGAATGCTCGAGTTCACCTCATTTGCGATGGATTTTTACGAGGATATTCATATTGGATTTTTCATGGAGAGACATCTAGAACTAGCATCCCTGCCTTTTCTACTTCACAACCTTGTCCTTCATCTTCGAATAATGGACAAGATCCTGCCCCCACTCAATCGAGTCCGCGAATTGGGGCGGACTTGATTGGACTAATTAGAGATGCCTTCATTGCTGAAGGCCAAGTAAACAATGATCATTCTGCCCATGGAGATTCTACCCATGAAGATGGGGAAAATCTGGGAGAGAACCTAGAAATGGATGATTTAGATGAAGTTTTTGAGGAGGATACCCCAGAAGTAGCACAATTGATTCAAGATGCAGAAGAAGAACTCTATCCTGGGTGCAAATCTTTCTCAAAATTATCTTTCTTATTACATTTATATCATCTAAAAGTTCTCAATGGATGGACAGCAAAGTCTTTTACCAAATTGCTTGAGCTTTTACTAGATGCCTTCCCGGAAGGAGTTTCTTTACCCAAGTCGCATGGTGCAGCTAAGAGGATAGTTCAAGGGTTAGGTTTAGACTATGAAAACATAGAAGCATGCGAAAGTGATTGTACCTTGTACTGGGGTACTAATAAAGATGCACTTTCTTGTGCTGTTTGCCATAAAGAAAGATATGATGTGAATGGAAAACGTAGGAAAGAAACAAAAGTATTACGCTATTTTCCTCTAATTCCAAGGCTGCAAAGGCTGTTCGCTTCGGAGAAGACAGCGAAGCACATGCGGTGGCATGATGAAAGTCGTAGGAAAGATGGGTTATTGCGACATCCAGCCGATGGCGAAGCATGGAAGGCTTTTGATGCTAGGTATCCTAGTTTTGCTTCTGATTCTCGCAATATTAGACTAGCTCTTAGTAGTGATGGATTCAGTCCCAATAGAACAATGACTACCAACTATAGTATATGGCCGGTGGTATTGATTCCTTACAATCTGCCTCCGTGGATGTATTTGAAGCAATCTTCTTTTATCTTGTCAATGATCATTCCTGGACCTAAGGGTCCTGGTAATGACATTGATATATACTTACAACCTATGATTGCTGATTTGTTGAAACTATGGGAGGGTGTCGCCACATACGATGCTTCCACTAAAGAAACCTTTTGCATGCGTGCTACCTTGATGTGGACTATAAATGATTTTCCTGCCTATGGAATTCTATCTGGATACTGTACATATGGGGAATTTGCTTGCCCAATTTGTGGTGGATCCACTTGTTCGAAGTGGTTGGAACATGGGGGAAGTTTTGTTATATGGAGCATCGTCGGTGGTTACCGGAAGATCATCCTTTTCGCTCTCAATGCTCTTATTTTGATGGCACAAATGAGCAAAGAAAAGCCCCTAAACAACTCGGTGGAAGTGAAATTTCAAGAATGTTAGAAGGGAGACAATTCTGTTATGGGAAAAAGGAAGTGAAGAGAAAAAGGAGGAAGAGGAAGAGGAGGGAGGGTGATGGTAATTCGAGTTCCATTGATAATTCGAGTGAGTGGGCAGATTGGTTTAATAAGAGAAGTATATTCTTTCAGCTTCCTTATTGGGAAAATAATTTATTGCGTCACAATTTGGATGTGATGCATATAGAGAAGAACGTGTGTGATAACTTGCAAGCTCGACAGGATCTAGTTGATATGAACATTAGAAGTGAATTGCATCCTCAAACTCTAGATAATGGAAAAACCAGATTACCTAATGCTTGTTTCACTATGAAAAGAGAGGAGAAGCGTGTTCTTTGCAGAGTTTTGAAGGATGTAAAAATGCCTGATGGGTATGGCTCAAACTTATCTAGGTGCATAAATGTCGACACTTGTAAAATTCATGGTCTCAAGAGTCATGACTGTCATATCTTGATTGAGGACATCCTTCCGGTGGCCTTAAGGGCATGTAGTCCTTCTAAAGAAGTGACTTACATAGTTGTTGAGCTTGCTGCATTTTTCAAAGCATTGTGTTCAAAGGTCTTAAATGTCAATGAGCTTGACAAGATCCAAAATCGGGTTATCATAACTCTTTGCCACTTGGAGAAAACTTTTCTGCCATCTTTCTTCACAGTTATGGTACATTTGATGGTTCACTTAGTAGATGAGGTGAGACTTGGTGGACCAGTACATTCTAGATGGATGTACCCTTTAGAAAGGTATGCCATAAAACTGCTAATCATTGTATCCATTTTGTAAATTCTGTGTTAATCGATATGTATAGGCTGTCTATGATCTGTTGTTACTAGTTAAAAGAATTAAATCCTCAGTTGAATCAATGTTTGAATCCTACTGCCAGATTATATATATATATATATATATATATATATATATATATATATACCTTTCAATTCTATCCAAATTTTAAGGTCTAATCTGATTCTCTTACCCTCCAGCCTGCCAAAAGACACAGTCCCCTTAGGTTGAAACCAAGAAAAGCTTCCTTTTTAGCTTGCCCCACATATATCTGCAGTAGTTGCTAGTATTCTTTATATTTTACTACCTATGTTTGTGCTTATATGTAGACAATAACGGGAGAAGATTCAAAAGGAGAGGACCAACAGTCCTAGCTGATTTGTGGAACATGGATCCTAATGAAAGGATTGATGTCCAGGTGGATAAATATGGAGTTCCATGTGGTCCCGAGTCAGGCTTATTTGCATCTTTCCTCGGAGTTGTGGCTAGAAACAGGTTCTTTACACCCTTGGAGCTTAATTGGAGAAAGGCTGAGTTTCGTCCTTATAAAGCTAAGATACTGGATCTTGTTCAGGTATGTTTACACCTCTGGAACTTCTTGCCCGCAGAAATGAATACTAATAGCGAATAAGAACTAAACTGGGTATAGGAATCTGCCCTTGAGGTGACTGACTAGGTATAGAGTTGGACATACAAGTACTGAACTGAGTTGTTCTACTGTACTATCTGTCAATCTCACGTCTCTTGCTACAACCTGGTATCTGATTGGAAAAAGCAGGGGTGTCATCTTGAATAAGACGCTTTGTCTGTCTGATGTCACTTTCATAAGACTCTTATACTTAAAATCCCATTTTTAAGTGACATTCTTTCTCGGGTATCATAAGTTGTTCTTGCGAAAAGAATATGGTGTTGAATTAAAAAGTGTGATATATACTTAATGTAAGTATATTGGGATTTGGCTCATTATGAACTCACTGTTAGTTAAGAGCAATTAATTAATCATGTCATCAGATTTAGGAAAACAGAGACCACTATATATATGACTTCCATAATTTGTGCTTATCAAATCCTTGGGCAGTTGAAGAAGTCATCGAAATTTTTCATTGGCAAAAGCTGGCCTTCTCTTTTATTACAGAAAATGATAACTGGCAGTGTCATTGTGCTTATCAACGATATCCACCTGCTAATGAGAGACTAATTTTCTTTTATTTTGAACCAGACCAAATTTCGATATCCACCTGCTACCACCAAATGGATTCTGACAAATGTGAATAGAAGGTGGAGCGACCACTAGACAAAACTAAAAAGTTTATATTACGATCCCGAACTGTCCGCTGAAGAAGTTCTTGCAAAACCGAAGCCTGCAGATGTTATTGATACTCATTGGCACACTTTGGTTAATCGATGGTATACTGAAGACTTTCAGGTATGACCAAATTTACTTTATTCGATTTTTTGTCATCATATTTATTTTAATTTAACTTCTTTACCTTATGATTGCAATATTTGTAGAGACTAAGTCAGATAAACGCTGAAAATGCTAGCAACATGAAGACTCCACATACATGTGGAAGGATGAGCTTTGCGAGGTGGAGGGCTATAAGAGTATGTCTTTTACCTAACCTAATACGAGTTATTTGGCTTTCTTGAAAAGCTTAATTGTGACATTTACAAATTGTGGTATTTTTCTTCCTATGTTTATTAGGCTCAGCAAACTGGAAAAGAACCTGATAGGCTGGAAACTTTTGAGAATACTCATACAAGAAAGAATGGGACTTATGTGAATGAGTATACAGCAACCCTAATTGTAAGAGTTTCTTACTTTTTTACTTGATCCTCCTCCTTTAAATTTAGTAAAACTTAGCACTTGTGTGCGTTATGCTCTTTTTCACTATTGCTGTTTTTTTGTTTTTCGGGTAGGACAGATTGTTCTAGGGTTCTGCTGGTTCTAAATGCTACTGCATTATTTTGGAACTTCAACTTTTCATCTGTCTTCCTCTTCTTCTTTTCTATACTAATTATTTATTTGGTTCAAGTGATATAACTTTGCTGAATTTTGTGTAGGAAAAGGCGCATACTCTTCGACAGGAAGGGTCTGCTGATAATGAACAAATCTTTCAGAAGCTACTTGGTCCAGAGCATCCTGGGAGGGTTCGTTGTGCTGGCTTGGGACCAACCCCATCAACCTATTTTGGGCCTTCTTCTTCCTCAGCTTCAACAAGTTCTACCACGACATTGTGCTCTAATGAGGTAGTCGCTCTAGGTATTGAAGTGGTTGAACTGAGAAGTGAAGTGGTGGAACTGAGAAGTGAAGTGGTGGAACTGAAAAGTGAGGTGGTAGAACTGAAAACTGAAGTGGGTCGGTTGGGAAGTGGGATGGAACAGCTGCAAATGGAAGTAGACACATTGAAGGCATTTATCTTGCAACATCTTTGTAGGGAGAAGGGGCCAATTGAGGGTTCATTCCGTGCACCATCTTCATCAAGCCAGAGTGCTACACGGGGCTGACCAAAGTAAGTAAATATACGTAACTACATCTCTGTAAGTTCGATTGGTTCAAGTCATGTAGATTTTTTTGCCTCATCAAGGTCTCTTCTCACACTCTGCCACCCTCATAAATACTGATATCTAGGGAACATCATCAACTTAATTGTTTTAATTCTGTTTTTAAAAGTCTGCTGCATAGCACGAATACGATACAAAGAGGTTACACTAGCACTGATTTTTGCTGTTATTGAATACCAATTCGGTATTGGAAGTAGGTGTGCTGATTTGTATCGAGCTTTTAAATGGAAGTAGTTAGTAATAGAGAAGTACATCTGGGTGTCACAAATTGTTCCTCATTCAATTTACTTTATTTCCTTCCATTTATAACAGGGTTTCTCAGGCTAGCTTTGAGATTGATCGGTGGAAGGAGACAACAGCTCTAGCATATTGGATGCAAATTGCACTCTGGAAATTTATCTTTGCTGGAACTTTATCTTAGTTCAATATTATTCCTTTGATTGAGCTACTAGTTGTACTTGGAAGTAATATGCACTATGGAAATTAGCATTTTGTGGCATGGGATAATGAGTAATGTACACTTTTAAGTACAGATATGTCTTGAAGATTTGAAATGTTGTGGCAGATTGCAGGGTTGTTGACATTTATTGAAATTTTGAAATGCTGCAGCAGGTTATAGTAATGGATATTTTAGTGACAATGCAAAAAATCGTCGCTAAAAATGGTTGCTAAAAGTCGTCACTAGAGGCTTGTAGGTGGTGATCTAAAAAGTGGGACTAGAGTGGCCTATAGCAGAGGTTTCAGTACCGTCGCAAAAGCATCAGCCACTGCTTCAAAATTTCAAATTTGAGAGGGGGAAAAATACCAATAGCGACGGTAAAAACCGTCGCAAAAACCGCCGCAAAAACATTCACCAGCGGTTGGGCTAACCCTTGCCATAAACTAGCAGCGGTTAATGTTGCGACGGTTTTGCTGCGGTTACTAAAACCGCTGATGGGGTAGTTAGCAACGGTTTTTTCCGTCGCTAAAACTGAAAAAAACCCCTGCTGTTTGTATTTTGTTTTGTAGTGAGTAACTCTTTAATCAGCTTCTTCTTCTTTGTTTCCTCCAATAAAAGGGAGCAGATATGGTGACAACACCATATTTGTTGTTATTGTAACAACATTAGTCTCCAACCAATAAGAAGCTAGGGTTGTGATGACTTTTTATTAGTTTAGTTGACCTAGTGTAAAATCAAAACAGGGGTATAATTGTCATTATTAAAATATATTTAAAAAATAAAAAAATAAAAATTTTTTTTTTTTATTTTCTGCTCAAAAATTTGGTCGCCGGAATTCTGACACTGTTCGCCGGAAACTGGTCGCGCGGTCACCGGAATATGCCTTTTGTCGTCGGAATATGCTATATGTCGCCGGAATATGCTTACCGGCGTCGGAATATGCTTACCGGGGCCGGAATATGCCTATCGGCGTCGGAATCTGCTCATTGACGGTCACCGGAGTTTGGTCAACGATTTTCGTTGACCGATCAACGGTCTTCGTTGACCGGTCAACGGTCAACGACCACCGGATGTTATGGGTCTGCATTGTGAGATTTATGGTTTGGTTTCTCATATTTTTGTATGCCTTTTGTGGTTTGCTTTATCGTGTTTGTGGTTTGCATTAAGAAGTTTCTGGTTTGCTTTATCGTGTTTGTGGTTTGCATTGAGAAGTTTCTGGTTTGCTTTCAAAAAATTTGTGGTTTGCTTTGGGGGGTTTCTGGTTTGTTTTAATAGATTTTTGGTCTGCATTAGGACGTTTCTGGTTTGTTTTTGTGGTTTGCTTTATCGTGTTTGTGGTTTGCATTATGAGGTTTCTGATGTGTTTTTTAAAATTCTGTGGTTTGCTTTGCGGGGTTTCTGGTTTGTTTTAGTAGATTTTTGGTCTGCATTAGGACGTTTCTGGTTTGTTTTTTTTGGTTTGCTTTAACGTGTTTGTGGTTTGCATTTTGAGGTTTCTGGTGTGTTTTTGAAAATTTTATGGTTTGCTTTGTGAGGTTTCTGGTTTGTTTTAATATATTTTTGGTCAGTATTAGGACGTTTCTGGTTTGTTTTCCAATATTTGTGATTTCCATTATAAGGTTTTTGGTGTGCTTTTTTATGAGATTATTATTCACTTATCGGGTCATCATCGTAATGATCTGAAAGCAGCATCTCGAAAAGAAGTTGCATTTGTGACTACCTTCATCAGATCATAGTAGTCAACATTGGAGCAGTCAACCTCCTCCCTGGTTCTACATCTGTAAGAAGAAATTCCAATCCCCATAAATCAAAAACCGACACGAGAAGATATTGAACCCATAACCTAGAAAAATCAGCGGAACAATAAATCAATTACATAAGAAGATAGAGGGATTGAAAAAGAACAAATATTGAAAAAGAACCATGGCGGCGGAGGGAAGTTCAAGACGCTCGGAAAGTAGATAAGAGGGATTGAAAAAGAACAAAGGAAGGGAAGACAAGATATTGTGCGGGGTGGGATAATACTTCTTAGCCTAATTGCTTGTATGGAAAAAGGGAAGACAAGATGTTGTGCAGATCTGAAATCCAGATCCGGAAGGTGGAGAGCCAGTCGTGGAGGACCTAGGATGCGTGGCTGTCGGAGCCATAGTCGGCGATTGCGGCCGTTCTCGTTCCTCCTAGCCGCCGCGCGTCGTCGTTCTCTTTCCTCCCGCCGTCGCTCTCCTTTTTCGGGTTCGCACAGCGAGAGGCCTCCAACGTTAGCAGCGCCTTCGTCGCCGCCGCAGGGGATCACGAGCAGGCCACGGGGAGGGTCGACCAGGCGAACCGTCTGCTGTTCGCGGCGTTCCAGGCGGTGGAGGAGAAGCTGCAGAGAGGGAAGAGATACGGAGATGGAAATATTTGTTATTTAATTGGTTAGATATTTGTTAATGGACCCTTTTACCCTTGTTGTTACTATAACAACAAAGAGGTGTTGTTATAGTATCCGGACCCTCCAATAAAATGGCCTCATCAGTTGCTAAGTTCTTCTTCCTTTCCCTATTGGCCGTATCGCTGATAGCTTCTCCTGGCGGCGCACAACTGTCGGCCAACTTTTACTCAACTTCCTGCCCAAACCTCCTCACCATTGTCCGCAACCAAATGACTCAAGCCGTCAACAACGACGCCCGGATGGCCGCTTCCATCCTTCGCCTCTTCTTCCATGATTGCTTCGTTAACGTTGGCCACCTTCTTTTAATAATATTACTCATTTGGTACGTACTAATTTAATTACCCTACGAGCTTGAATTTTTACGTCGAGGGAATGCATGCATGCAGGGGTGCGACGCGTCGGTACTTCTCGACGACACCACAACTCTCACCGGCGAGAAGAATGCGGGGCCAAACCAAAACTCCCTGCGAGGTTTCGCCGTCATCGACAACATTAAGACCAGGGTCGAGGCCGCTTGCAACGCCACCGTTTCGTGCGCTGACATCCTTGCTCTCGCCGCCCGAGATGGAGTCGTCTTGGTAATATATATATTATCACCTCGTATTTCGCCATATTAATATTAAAACTCTTAAAAGAACAAGTTTAAAAAACACTGTTTCATAGAGTCACATCACACTAGGTACTATTTCGTAATTAACCAAAGCTTGAGATTCTAAGTAAGGGATGATCATTTCCGTAATTAAACAAAAATCAGCTCCTTTTTTTGTTGCCTTTTCCTCTTCCACTCTTTCCAGCCACACAAAATCAGCTTCTTTTCTCAATCATCTCTCTCATTCCACCCACCCACCCACCCACCCACCCTCCTTTCCATTCTCGGCTGGAGAAGAAGGAAATAGTGACAAAGAATCCAGAGAAGAAGATGAGGAGGAAGAGTGGACCTCATCAAGATGAAGGATAGTAGGGTCGAAGTTCGGTGCGGATCGGCGATAGGGACGTGACGCTCAGATGCAGCGGCGGTGGTGCATGAGTGGTTGTCCGTCAGCGATGATGGGACGAGGCGAGTGGCGGCGTTTGAGCTGAGCGACGGTGGTTGGGCTGCGCCGGTGCGTGGGCTGTGGTCCGTCACCGGCGATGGGAGGAGGTGCGACGATGGTCTGGTGGTGCTGTGGTGCACGCGGTTCAATGAGCTTTGGTCCGCCTGCGGCTATGGGAGGAGGCGCGACGGTGGTCTGGTGGTGTTGCGATGCCTGCGGTCCGACTACGAGGCTGGAAGAAGCGGTTGTGGTTCGTCGATAGTGACGCAGGAGTGTAGGAGCCTTACTAATTACAACCGCTTGAATTACAACCGCTTGATTTGGGAGGTTTAGCGGTGGTGCCGGGTTTGGATTTCAGGTGATGGGTCTCTTTCTCCGATTAGTTTGTTTACTCTCTTTTCTTTCATGTTTTAGTTCTCATTCTTTCTTTTTCAGGAGGGTTTATTCGTCCACTCTCAATGAAAGAACTCTCTCTGTTGAAGGGAAGTATGAATGGGAGGCGATGTGGAATACCCATATCTGCTGAAGTTTTTTAGACCAGCTGAAAATCGAGCCTTTTGTCGTTTCAGTTTTAGGTTAGGTGTTGTTCTTTGCGTATTTCATTGTTGTACTTTCATTTATGCTCCTTTCGGCTGATCAAGCTTTAGTGATGTTATTGTTTGGCCTATTTTGCTTGCTGCCGACCGCAGGAGAAGAGGGAAGCAGCAAAGGAAAATGTGAATTGGGTTAATCTATGATGGGAAGTGTGATTGTGCCCTACCGCCTATGAATCGATCCATGGAAAGAGTTAGACGACCCACCGACACTGTAGACGGTAAATTGCTGGTAAGAACGGGATGGGAGCACCCCCAAAGATGGGACGATCATCCACCTTATTATTTGTAACATGGTCAGTTTTTACACTACACTCTATTTGTGCTCATTCTTTGGTTCTTTTGGGGTTTTGGGTTTTCGTTTATGATATGCAGTTGGTTCTGATTGTGTTCGTTCTTTGGTTCTTTTTAAGGTTTTTAGTTTTTGGACTGCCGTTGATTTTGATTGTATTCTTTTTTTGTGTTTTAGTTTATGCCATGGAGTTTGTTTTGATTGGTTAGATGATTGATTTTGTGTTCCAACTCTCATCCTGTCTCTTTATTTCTCCGGCATCTCAGAATGCTATTTGATGGAAAAAAACTAGGACAGCTGGTTTTCTCAATGAATTCATCGGCCTCGAAACCACGTCGGCAGCAAACTTGCCCATAGGAGGATTGCCCGCGATGATTCTACACGGTCATTTTCAAAGACCCTCTGCAGACCTTGCTCCCAATCCAATTTGCTCTTATCCCCGACTCGCTTACTTTTTGGGTTCTCAACCACAAATCTGTTCATTTTGCTACATGTCCCCCCAAATCTCACTTACTGAGTGCAAGGTAACTTCTTTTTTATGTTGGTTCAAGATTAATATGGTTTCTGCTTATATCTCTAAAGCTGGGACTGGGTTTTCATGGAAGGCTTTCAGGTCGCTTGGTAGGTTTGTGAAGCTCTCCCTTACCTCTGCCATAACGTTGTGGTAGGAAGGAATTATATTTGGGTTTAATTAGTATGTTTATGTGGTTTTAGAGTTTATTCATGTCAGCTTATTTGTGAACCAGTTTGGACTTGTGGTATACCACAAGTGGTGGTTTGATGGCTGAAGCAACTGGGTACAGTAGTTATTTTTCTCAATCTTTCATCACTTGACCTACAATTTTTCATCGTAAAATGGTTTTATTGAGTGTTTCGAATTATTTCAGAATTTAGTAAAAAGCCTTGCTTCATGAATGAATTGGAGAAAACAACACTTAGTTTATTTTTCTTGACAATATATGGGTTCGTTTCTTTTTTTTAGATGCAAGATCACCTTATAGTTCTGCAGCAATCTGTAAGTGTCATGAAGTTTCGCTTTAGCTAATACAAACTTACATCTGCTTTACATATGCATTTTCCTGTTCATAGGGTGCATTCTGAAAACTATAGATACCAACAAGTAATTTTGTTCAATTGCAGTCATTGTTTCATCATGGATGATGTTGTTCTTTGTGTTATTGAGTTCATTTTTTTACTTATTAAGATCTTTTCCCCCCCTTTTCTCTGTTTCTTCTTGCCCACAGTAAAGGAGCAGGCCTTAAAGAGAAGTTTGGGGAAGGAAGTTGCTTCCTGCTAAGGTGAAGTCACACTTTTTGTTTAATACTTTCAAATTTCAATTCCACTTTCTCCATCATATGATGGAATTAGGTAGCAGCAACTCTGGTGCATTTTCTATTGTCAATTCTCATCATGTTTCATGTCATGAGTAGGTTACTCTAATTTACACGTCCAGTTGTTTGCTTTTCATGTTATGAGGTGTTGTTGTTAAACTTGTGCTGATATCTTACACCACTCACACGAGAACTTTCATTCCTTTATTCCATCATAAATCATTTATGGTCTACGATGTTCATTGATGTTTTGGATTTTGTTTGCTATAAATCATAAATCATCGTTTTTCTTCGGACTGAAATGGAATCTAGGACTAAGTATACAACTAACAATAACAGTATTGGGAAACCGTTCAGTTCTGGTTTATATTGTTTTCCTTTATATCGTTCGAGATGCTTCATTGTTTTTGTTTTCGGCTCGACATGCTTCGATTATCGGAACATGCTCTTCAGTTCAGGGTTGGATATTTATACTGGTAGTTGTGCCGTGTTCTTTTGCCTATCAGTTCTCTTTCTCTTCCTTTTCATGGATTAGTAGATTTTTCTTATGGTTTAGATCTCTCCTTTTGGTTTAGATTGTCTGTGTTGTACTTTGTTGATTTGCACAACGCATGTCTTATTACTGTTTACTTTCGTCTGCGTCTACTCAGATGCGTTATACAGCAACCATGAAGTGTAGAAACGAATCCAAGAGATTATGGTGAAGGTCCACAGGGTCAATTATTCTTTCTTCGGACTAGGTTGAAACTGATGAACAAGGTAAGCCGCAAAGGTTTCCTCTCTTAATCTTTTACTGAAATACTATAAAGCTCTTACTTCCATTTTCTGTATTAGCTGTAATTGTAATCTTGAGGCCTGCTGGAATTGGTTCCATTTAGATTAAAATACTTGGTTATTAGCTGCTAACATGCATGTATTTTATTTCAATTTTGTGCATATGTAGGTAAAAGATTTGTTACTCATACATCATAATTGCGACTGATCATAGTGAGAAAGAGCTATGAATTACGATAATTGCCAACTGGGGTGGGCTCTCTTATAAATTGCTTTCTATCAGCCTACAAATTGAATTACATATTTCTTGCTGTTGGATCCTATTGTGTTTTGTATAAACTTCTTATTCTTATTCCTGGACCATGCTTAGGCTGCAATTTCATAGACACTCTCTTTTCTCATTAACACCTTCCATTGATTATGGGATGTCATGAGTTGATGCAATAATATAATTCAGGATTGAATTCGAGTTGAGTTACAAAGACATGAAATGAGGACATGGCGATGAAAATTTGTTTCACATTCATTTATGATTTGGTCTCTGACTGGAGTTTGTTTAGGCAAGGGGAAGGATGGTAGGCAATGAATTCATTATCTTCATTGATTTAGTCTCCTGTCGGGTTTGCGTCGGCGAGTATTACTCCAAAATATGGGTTTTCATGCCCTGATTGTTCATCTTATTGAGACACGAAAGGTTCAGTTTGTTTGGATTTGTAAGTAGATTCGATTGGTGTTCTGAATGAATTCGATGGGTATTTCGAATAAATGTGCATATTAATGACCAACCTTCCGAAGTTATATCCATTGTAGAGGTTAGGGTGGATACACAGGTTATTGAATTTCTCATATGTGAGCTCTGTATGGTATTTTTTTTACAGTATTTCATTTGCCCCAGAATGATGTTGACGAGGTAGATATCTGATATGCATCCATGAAAGTGTTCAGGGAAGGATCCTTTACCTGGCTAGAAATTTCAAACATTATCGTTGACAGGTCGGATCGTCTCCTTCAGTTGAGTGATTTACCTGTTGCTTCTTACTTGCTGTTTTTTGTAAACTTTAATTTCCTGATATGTTATACCTTATAACTGCTGTCAACTGGAAAGCTTTGTATATGCTCTCCAATGCCTGATTTTGGTGCTTGGTCTGATTCTTAGGTTGTCACTTCGAGCTTAGTGAGATCAAGAACTATCAGGTAAACAATGGTGTATATTATGTTCCTGCTTTTCGTGTACTCTCATTTTATGTTGTATTTCTCTTCTCTCTATATCGTCAGTTGCTAAGCAGTTTCAATTACTTTATCTGCAATTAATAAGCTAAATGTGCTCTTCTTGATCATAAGTCTTTGTGTAGTTGTTCCATTCAAACTTTCTAGAGTTCTTTTATGTGCTTCAATATGTTAGTGCTCTGTTGGTTATTTGTACAGATGATTTAAACTCTAGCAATACCAGGTTTGGAGTAGTCAACACAAGCAGTAAAAGGAGAAAGTAAGGCTCGTGTGTTTGTTTCGACCTTACAGTTTTGTATAGTATCTTAATTTCAACGTACAATATATGTGAATGCTCTTTGATTGCATTCCAGTGAGTCTCAACCC